AACACAAATGGTCATTATCAAGACTATGGCTGTGATGCATATAATTTAGGTCAATATATACAAGGTCAAGGTCACTAAAGATGATGAAATATCCAGATTTTGTCCGGAGCATATCGCCTACACGCATGGAGGGATTTTAATGAAATTTCATAGAAATGTTCACCATTATGAGAAGCCATGTCACGCACATGAACTAGGTCTCTAGGTCAAAGGTCAAGGTCACACTTAGAGCTCATTGAAAAACGCTTGTCCGGAGCAAAACTTCCACATGCATAGAGGGATTTCAATATAACTTGGCACAAATGTTCACCATTGTGAGGCGGAGTGTCGCGCACAAAATTCAGGTCCCTGCAGCCAAGGTCAAGGTCACACATAGAGGTCAAAGTTTAGATAAAAATATGAAGATATGTATAGGGACGATTTAATCATCATTTATTGAGGGATTGTAACACAAATGGTCATTATCATGACTACGGCATGTACTTTAGGTCAATATATGCAAGGTCAAGGTCACTAAAGATGGTGAAATATCCAGATTTTGTCTGGAGCATATCTCCTACATGTATGGAAGAATTTTTATAATACTTTATGGAAATGTTCACCACCATGATATGTATTTCTCCATGCATGATCCAGGTCTCCAGGTCAAAGGTCAAGGTCACACTTAGAGCTCATTGAAAAACGCTTGTCCGGAGCAAAACTTCTACATTCATAGGGGGATTTCAATATAACTTGGCACAAATGTTCACCATTGTGAGGCTGAGTGTTGCACGCAAAATTCAGATCCCTGCGACCAAGTCAAGGTTACACATAGAGGTCAAAGTTCAGATAAAAATTTGAAGATGTGTATAGGGACCATTTAGTCATCATTTATTGACGGATTGTAGCACAAATGGTAACTATCATGACTACAGGTGTGACACATTCAATTTAGGTTAATATTTGCAAGGTCAAGGTCACTGGATATGATTAAATATCCAGATGTTGTCCGGAGCATATTTTCTACATGCATGGAGGAATTTTAATGTTACTTTATAGAATTGTTCACCACCATGAGACGTAGTGCCCTGCACATGAACCAAGTCTCTAGGTCAAAGGTGAAGGTCACAGTTAGAGCTCATAGAAAAACGCTTGTCTGGAGCAAAACTTCTACATGCATAGAGGGATTTCAATATAATTTGGCACAAATGTTCATCATTGTGAGGCTGAGTGCCGTGCATAAAATTCAGGTCCCTGCGACCAAGGTCAAGGTCACACATCCTGTGCATATCTTCCCTACTGATTTGTTTTAAGGTTCATTTAACAACACAGTGCCAAGAATAAAAACTTGCTTGCTAGATAACACTTATCCATAATGCCCCCATCTCGATCAAAAGCTTTCGTAAACGGGCGTATTTTGTGACTATGGCACCCTTGTTGTTCTTTGTTACACTCACATCATGTATGACATCGTTATCTCCTTTTTTTTTAAATTTTTGTTTTTAAAAATGTTATATTTTGATAACAGGGATGTTTAAAAAATAACTTTAGAGTGTCCTTCAGTCCGTCTGTCTGTCTGTACATAAAAACTGTTCACTGTGATTACTTTTAAAGAACTTTTTCAACAAATTTACTTAAAATAGAAACATAAGTGAATGGCCCTTCAGAATGTTGCTTTGGCTCTTACCGGTAGGGGACTTATGGATTGCTTGCAATACTATGATAATTGCTTGTTTGTAACTGTTTCGAACATGATTTGATAATATATATTTATACTATTACCTGTACAAGTAGTAGTCTTTTTTCACCAGAGATAATTTCTCTTTATGTATTTGTGTCACTTAAGTTATTCCCTTAACAACCTTTCCAAGTCGTCTTCTGTCAAGGACATTGGTGGGGGTATGAATCGCATTCAGCGATAGTTCTAGTTTGAATTATTGCCCTTTTTGATTTTCATACTTTATTTTTGTTTGTGCCTTTTCTCATGATTTATAAAAGCTATGGGCTTGCAACTTCATAGGATGATAGATCTCATTAAAAAGAAGTGCAATGCACAAGAACTGGCACTCTGTTTTTCTTATTTTTGAGTTATTGCCCTTTTTTGATTTTCATACATTGTACTTTATGTTTGTCCGGACCATTTGTCCAAAACTATAAAAGCTTTTTTATAGGATGATAGGTCATATCAGGATGAAGTGTAGTGCACAAAAACGGTACTCCATGGTATTTGAGTTATTGCCCTTTGTTAATTTTCATACTTTAATTTTGTCTTGGCCATTTCTCTTCAACTATAAAAGCTATGGACATGATTATCTTCATAGGATGAAAGATCTCATTTGGAAGAAGTGCAGTGCACTAGAACTGTTTCTCTTCACTTCTTATTTTTTTTTAGTTTTTGCCCTTTAGCAGTGTTTATAAATATCCTACATTTAAGAAGAAAGTACTTAAAGTTCACAAGGTGACACATCCGACTCGCATAGTTCTAGTATTGAGTAGAAATGGAGTGCAAAAAACAGTAGCTCTGCATTGTCTAATATTTTAGTTATTGCCATTTGTTCATTTTTACACTTTGAACATGATTGTCAAGGGCATAACTCTGAAACTATAAGAGGTATTATTTTCCATGTCCAAAACCTATTCGGGGATCAACGTCCAGTTTGACCCGCTCTTGCTCATATTTGGAAAGAATGCACCTTGGATGGACCAGTATTGGGTTTATGTGAATTGGCAAGAATATTTATTATGATCAGTAGATGAAGCCTATTTACTTAATTTGTATGTCATTAGTTTAAATTGGCCTTTTTCATCTATAAAAGATAATGTTAAAGCTTAAGATTTAGTGTAGAGGTTGGTCATGGCTAGTAGATTACTTGCTTTTGACTTTGAGAAAGGTCAACAAAGTCTTAATCAGTGAAAGCTTGCTTGATCATCTTTCACCTAGGCCTGAATTAAAATTTTGTCTGTTTCCCGTCCTGTTTTTATGCCCCAGGATATATTGTTTTGCTAATGTCAGTCGGTCTGTCCGTCGGTAGACCACATGGTTTCTGCTGATTATCTTGAAAAGTATTTATCACAAACTCTTCATATTTCACATAGTGATTGGTCATAACTAGTTGATGACCCCTATAGATTTTGGGGTCACTAGGTCAAAGGAAAAGGTCAAAGGGGCCTAAAATGTCAAAATGGTTACCACTGAGTATCTTGAAAAGTATTCATCACAAAGTCACCATATTTCACTTATTGATTGGTCATTACTAGTAGATTACTCCTATTGATTTTGGGTTCATTAGGTTAAAAGGTCAGGATCACAGGGACCTCAATGTGAGAATGGTTTCTGCTCATTATCTTGGTTACTATTCAATGCAGGGTCTTCATATTTCACATACTGATTGGTCATACCTAATAGATGACCCCTATTGATTTTGGAGTCACTAGGTCAAAGGTCTAGGTCACAGGGGCCATAAATGCCTCATTATCTTGAAAACTATTTATCACAAAGTCTTCATTATTTCTCTTGTTTCCATAATTAAACACTTCCATGTACCCATTATAGCAAGCTTCTATAACAAAATTACAAATAATGCGAATCAAGGGCTAAAAAGGGGGGCATATGTGTTGTTCGACATTTTTTGTTCGCATCAAATTTGTATCTTGTTACTGCTATACTGATTATTTAGATTTTTAGTTATTGAGTGCTTTGTTCATTGTTTTATTTGTTCACATGACATTTCTACAAATTTGATAGAGCACTATTTTTGTGTACAGAGTAGCTGCCACATAGAGGGATCATTTCTCCATCATCTTTCTGTCTGTCCATCTGTCAATCCGTCACAAAACTTGTCCAGACTACTCTTCAGAAACTAGTGGTGCAATTTCTTCCAAACCTTATAGAAATGATCAGTATCAAGTGTAGTTGGCAATCGTTGGCATTTTCACATTCAATGATTTCTGTCAATGTTATATACCTTTAATGAATTTTATTTTGAATATTTGTCCATACTGCTGAAGCAATTTCAATAAAACGTTACAGGATGGATTGATCTGTGGCTCAAGTACTTGCGCATATTACACAGATTTTCTAGTTGAATGATTTTTGGTGGTTGAATGATTTTTGGTGGAGTTAGGACCCTTGAATAAAAAAGGTGTTTTTCTGCATGTTGCCTACTGCACAGAATCTTTCCGAATTACTTCTTGGAAACTACTTATGCACTTTTATCCAAAATTTATAGGAATGGTCAGTACCAAGTCTAGTTGTGCATATTATCAGCTGCTTTTAGTTCAATGATTTTTGTCAGAATTATGGCCCTTAAATTATTTTTTATTTACAAAGTTTGCCTGGACTCCTCCTCTTATACTACTAATGCCATTTCATTGAAACTTTACAGGATTGATTGGTAGCTCAAGTATTTGCGCATATACCACAGGTTTGTGGCTTGAATGATTTTGGCAGAGTTTATAATGGCCATTGAATATATATGTCTTAATAACGTTTGTCTTGAATACTCCTAATGCATTTTCATTGAAATGTTACAGGATTTATAAGAGGCTCATGTACTTGCACATATAACACAGGTTTTCCATTTTTGGCATATGAAGGTGTTTTAGTTTTTACTTGTTTGGACTACTCTTCAGAAACTACTAGTGCATTTTTATCAAAACTTTACAGGGATGATCAATACTTAGTCTAGATGTGCATCTCATCAATATTTTTCGATTTAATAGTTATTGTTAGAGAAATGTACATTTATAGATTTTAATTTTTAAAAATTTTCTGGACTACCCCTCTTATACTACTTATGCAATTTTAATGAACATTTACAGAATTTATAGGTATCTTAAGTACTTGCACATATTACACGGGGTTTCCAGGATTTTTAGCCGAGTTATAGGCCTTGAATAAAAAATGCGTTTTACCCTGTTAATGATTTTTGGTCTATTGCTACACAGTAGCTGCAACATGCGATTGTCCTGTTTTCATGATAAATATATAAATTAAACTATTTGTTATAATCACAATGCAGGTACATTACTAGCTAGATGGGAAGTTATCGCTTTTACTGATCGTTATGGGACAGCGTGTTTCAATGGTAACTGTTCAGACATAAATATGAAAGTTTTAAAAGATTTAGAAAGTAGTCCATTGGAACATGATGCTGACCAGGAATCAGTTTTTCGACTGTCAGAAGAAGTATTTATCGACCAAGAAACAGTTCAATCAGCAGGGATTGACACATCTGGTGTCCCAAGACAGCCAACAGATGCCTCTTCAGATAGCGAAGTACCTGAAGGCGCTGAAACAGTCCCAGAAAATGAAATTTCATTTGATGAAGTTGATTCTTCTAGGATTGCACCAAGACCAATGGAAATTGAAGCAAACCAAATACCAGAAGTTAGCAGCGATGAAGAGATTAAAAGAAAAGAGAAAGAAGTAGAACTTAAAAGGGAGGAATTGCGACTTAAATTGATAGAAAAGATTTTCTCATTTATAAATAATCCTGAGGATGTACCTGTTGCATTAAATTACATGGAGAAAGTCAATATGCATATGGTTGGATTATCAAAGGGCAGTGTTATTTTCAGTATCTACATAGGCTCACTAGATGCTTTGCAACAATTTGAAAAGTTATGGAGGTATGGTGGACTGAAAAACCTGCTTGACAAAGAGATGTTAGGTGAAGACATGCTAAAGGTATGCATTACTAAGGTTTCACTGTATTTATATTCTCTCTTTTTGCTCACAAAAATTAACGATTCCATAGTAGTTTAGGATAAACTTGATTTGTAGCATATGTTGTCCGTTTTCAATCGACAACAATGAAATGTTGTTGTGTTTGTTTCAAATCAAATACTGTGAAGTGTCATTGCGTTCCTCTTAATGTGTTTAAATCTTTAATCCTTTTGTAATGATTTGCCACATAACAAAGCAGAGTACATGTGTATATGTATCAAAAAGAAATTATGTTTGATCAGAAAGTTATTATTTTTATGCCCCCGCCATGTAATGGCCGGGGCATATAGTGTTACCCTGTTCCGTCATTCCGTCCTTCCGTCATTCTGTCATTCCGTCATCATCAGTTTCCGTTCATTATCTTAAGAACGGTTGCACACATTCAACTCAAATTTGACATATGGATATGTCATGACAAAATACAGGTCAAGTTCGAATTTGGTCATGGTTCGATGATTTTTGGCAGAGTTATGCCATTTTTACTTTGAAAATAATATGAAATTTCAGTTTCCGTTCATTATCTCCCCAACGGTACAACACATTCAACTCAAACTTGACATATGGATATGTCACGGATATTATATGTAATATAAATCTGTGGGATATGTCTTGAGAAAATACAGGTCAAGTTCGAATTTGGTCATGGTTCGATGATTTTTGGCAGAGTTATGCCCCTTTTACTTTGAAAATAATATGAAATTTTCAGTTTCCGTTCATTATCTCCCCAACGGTACAACACATTCAACTCAAACTTGACATATGAATGCGCCAAAAGAATGCGCAGGTCAAGTTCAAATTTGGTCATGGTTCAATGATTTTTGGCACAGTTATGCCCCTTTCACTTTGAAAGCAATATGAAATTTTCAGTTTCCGTTCATTATCTCCCCAACAGTACAACACATTCAACTCAAATTTGACATATGGACATGTTTTTGGAATGCCCAGGCCAAGTTCGAATTTGGTCATGGATCAATGATTTTTGGCAGAGTAATGCCCCTTTCACTTTGAACATAATATGAAATTTACAGTTTCTGTTCATTATCTACACAACAGTGTTACATATTCAACTTAAATTTGACATATGGATATGTCAAAGGAATGGGGAGGTCAAGTTGGAATTTGGTCATGGTTTGATGATTATTTTGCAGAGTTATGTCCCTTTCACTTTGAAAATAATATAGATACATCTTAGGAATAAGCAGTTTAAGTTTGAATTTGGTTGTGGTTCAATGATTTTAGACAAACTTATCTTTCCTGAATGTTGGAAAAATTTTGAACTTTCAGTTTCAGAACTCATACTTTTAGCCATTACGAGGGCTGTCCGGAAAGTTCGTAGACAAGCCTGTAAAATTATTATAAGCAGTTATATTAATATGATGATTAAATATTTTGCTTAAGTATTTATTCTGCTACAAATTTCTAAATTTAAAAACATGATAAAAGTTGTATTCGCAAATCGCCAATCACCATGGCAACATGATCAACGAATCACGGAGCACTTTGATTTCATGACAATAGCTACTCGAATAAAAATTGGCTAAAAGTTGTCATTTTAACGCAAATTCTTGTTTTAATGTTGTGACATCAAATGGTACTATTGCGTGATATTTAGTGAAAATTACGACGTCATACGCAAAGAAACAACTTGTTAACGACGATTATAGGCAATGAAGTTGCGTTAGTTTTGTGTCGCAAACATGACGTCAAATTCAAGGACGGAGCAACGTAATGTTATTTAACTTCAAAGCAACGCTAGTAATGATTATAATCTTTACTTGAAAAAAAACAAACCATAAATTGTTAAGGGAAACTTGTGTTTAATTGTCAAACACGATTAAGAAGCGGTGATGACAGTATTTTGTATAAGAAACGTATCAGACGACCAAAAGTAGCATGGCCGAAATGTCGTAGATTGCGTTCTTGAAAAAGACAGACATTTCACACACTATGGGAACAAGTGACACCTTTGTTGTTGTTGTTGTTTTTTAAATGTAGTATATGAAATTAAGTAATAGCAAGGGAACATAACATGTATAAAATATGCGCCAGGCAGGTTCCATGGCTGTTTAAATCGGAAGAAATTAAATAGTGGATAAACATGAAATTAAATTGACGCCGTTGACGTTGTCAAAGTGCTCCATGATGATGTATATATGTTGTATGTAAATGCTGTAAAAATAAAATACAAAAGTAAGTCACAATTCAGTAATTTTTGATAAATGTGTTCGCTAGATATGTATATTTTTGCTGACAAAATTTGTACAACGTATGTATTGTTATATAATGAAAAATGAAGAAGTATATGAACTTTCCGGACATCCCTCGTATTTTGGCTACAAATATGCAATATGCTATTTTAAAAAGGTTAAGACTGAATAATTTCAATGCCTTGAAAATTGTATGAAAATGGTTTGTGTTAACATTGAAAAGTTTTAAGGGCTTTGAACTTAAAATGAAAAAAATAATTAATGCACCATCTGAAATTTTGGCTGCATGCGGGGGCATCCGTGGCATGATGACACATTTCTAGTTCTCGTAATTTATTGCAGGTGTTAAAGGAAACTGCACGTTTAAATGGCCATCCAGTTGACAATATAAAGTCGGAACTAAAAGTTTTTGAAACAGACATTGAACGTTGTAGATCATCACTGATGAAGTCATCCCTTGGTAAATCATTTATGCACAGTCTATTTCTTGTATCAATACGTCTGCATAAAAGCACAACTTGTAAGATATTTACAGACTACAAGCAAACTATACTGTCAGAGATTCTTACGCCATCACGTAGTCTTACTTGGCTGATCTTTAATTCCAAGCAGTTTTTGTAACCTTCAGGAATTGGAATCTCTGAAATTAACAAATGATGCTTCCTTATTTGAAACAGGATATGTTCTTCACTTGAATTAAGTGTGATAAAGATTATTTCTGACAAACATCGTCAATATCTTTGTTAATTCTTTCAAACAAGTTGTTTTTATACATTTCTTAGATGTATTGTACATGTTTGGTTTGCAATATTTACATTAAACCCTTTGTATTTTCTAGATTTCCGCCCTAAAAGTTTTGCAGAACTGTCCATGGCAGCTGATAGAAATAAAGCATCAAAAGAGACACAGGAAGCTACAATGTATGCCATTGAACTCCTCCCCGAAGAGCTTAGGTCATTACTCGAGGACCCTTTCATATTTGATAGAGCTCATGGCTTCTTTGAATCTGATTCTCTTAAAGAGAGGCTAAAACTTGATCATACAGCGGTTTCCAGTCGTTCTCAGATTACGCCTGTAGCTGGAGTTTTTAAAGACTGGTTGAATTCAGAATTAGGAAAATATTTGGCGAATATAGATGATGCCACTAGTCAGCATCTTATTACACTAGCAGTGTACATTGTACAGTCGTTTTGTACTGATGGCACTGTGGCAATACCACAGGAAGTTCTTACAGAAAATTTCGTTGTAAAAGAAAAGACGACAGTATTTTCTTCAGAGCCAATCAATGAAGAGGTGTCAAAAGAGCTCGAGAAATGTCTTTTTTGGGGAGATTTGATTAAAGTACCAAAGGAGGTAGTTGTTGATAAAGCAGCTTTACAGACGGCTTGCAGAAATCTGATAAGAGAAAAGATAATAGGTCGAGGCAGAGGTCACTTTAACTTTAGCAGCAATATTGTAAGGGATGCTTTTGTTAGCAAAGTTTTACTATGTAGTTGCAACAAAGGTGACATGAAGACAATTGCAGATTCCTTTGGTTATGTGCAGACACTGATTGGGATGTTTGATATGGGGTCTCGTTATGTTACCAATGAGGAAGATAAAAGAGAGGCTTTATCCTGTTCCTTCAAAACTGATGAGCTGAGAGAAATAGGTATTTTTGGCACACACACGCTCACTGTATCTTCAAAAAGCAGCTTTTATAGCACTGACCTGATCTATTGTCGAATTGAGGGGTTAAGCATGGATGCTAGTATTATTAAAGCTGGGGAAATCATCAAAAAATGTCAAAAAGCTAAAACACAGAAACCTGTTGTTGATCTTTCAGTACCAATGATGGATAAATCTTTCGTTTTAGAGGATGGATTGCATTGGTTAAATGCCACAGTAAACGGTAGTTTGGAAAATTAAAAAATTTGGACTTCTAATTAGCAATCGTCCCCTTTTACGGGATGAAGATTTGAAAATTGGGCCCGATTTTTTAAAAATTTTTACCCTTAAATGTATAAAAATAATTTTGAAAAACCCGGTCTAAAGCCTTGCGACTCTCCCCAAAAATATTTTAGAGAGGGGTTTATTTAAAAAATCAGCCATCTTAAATATAAAAGACAATGCTTTTTTTGAAAAAACCTGTGACCATTTTGGACTTATTTTTGAAACATCTAAAAAATTTTGAAGTTAAAATTGCCCCCTGGGGGAGGGAAGGGGTTGAAAATTTGGGCTGTAGATTTATCTAAAGGGCACTCTGGGCCCGGTTTAAATAAAAGAAATAATGGGAATTACGGGGAAAAGCGGACTGTTATCTTTAACGAAAGCCATGGGTGGAAATAAAGCAATGACAGGACTTCGAATACATAAAAACTATTTCGGTAGAGATGGAAGTGTTATTCTTGCCAGTTGGCTAGAATCTTTGATCTTGCTTGAGGTGTTAAATGTCAGTGAATGTGGAATCGGAGACAAAGGAAGTCCAATTATTGCCAGTTCTCTGGTAAGCAGATCTTTGAAGAAGCTGTCAATGCGAAAGAATGAATTGTCTCCAAGGGGATCACGTGATTTTTTCAGGAACTTCCAAAGGCCACCTTATCTGGAACACTTGGATTTTAGTGAGAACAAAATATTTGCAACATCTGATAGAAGAAGTCTTTCAGTAGCTGAAGATTTGTCCCCAACTGCACAAGAAGAACCATTTCTAGACTTCCTTCTGCAGCCACGAGCAATGAACCACCTTTCTCTATGGAATACGTATCTTGGTCAAAAGCGCATCTTCATGAGTTTAAACAGTTATAAATGCTTCGAAGAAATGACTTATCTCTGTTTACAAGAAAACAATATATCCGATGACTTCGCAAGAGATGTGTGCGAATGCATCAAGCTTTCAAACGGTATATATATCCAACACTTCAATCTACGCCAGAACCACATTGGTAATAATGGGGCTAAATGCATAGCGGAGATGCTTGGTGAACAGAAGTATTTGAAAGAAATTCTTCTGGATAGAAATGAGATAGGTGACGACGGAGCGAACCAGATTGCGTCAGCTTCTATGTTCTTGCCATCCTTTCAGTTTCTTGATCTGTCTTGCAACAACATTTCCCGGGGCAGGATTATGCGTATTGTTGGGGAACTTGAAGCCAGGATAAACACTGGGGAAGAGTCATCTTCTCCTGGCATAAAGCTTGGTGAGCGAAGACTCATTCAAAAGCAGAGTTCTTATGAAGAAAACAACTTTAAAATTAGCAGAGAGATGGACAAGTATTTGGTTACCACGTAAGTGCTGGCATGCTTAATAATCAGATAAGAATGTTTGCAACAACCTGTATTGCCTGATAGTCTATGACTGTTTGTTTCGAGGAGAAGATAGGAATGATATACATGTACATAGACATTGTGTATAGAACCTTAACGAGACACAGACTTTATGTTTTTAATTCATGGAATTGTCAGAATATGATCAAGCCAGTTCAGTCTGTGTGTTTTAAGATTTATGTGACAAGACAATAATTTGAAAAGCAATATTTCATTAATTACTCATTTCTAGTTTTGAATAAGTGTAAACTGCATAGTTATATCGGATTTTGTATCAAACTGAAATTTCATATCGGATGTTAATAGTTCAACATTATCATTGATATAAATATTGCATGAATTTCATTCTATCACAATGTAATCTTTTGAAATATTTATAACTTTATTTACTTTACTGAAAACAAATGTTTCACTTACGCAGCAGAAAATGAAATACATGTACAGAGACATATAATATGTATTTTAACGTCTCTGAGAGGTAGTTGTTTGAAGTATACATTTAATATAAACTTTTATATTGGCTTATTAGTGTATTTACTACATGTACTAGCGTTTTTAGCGTATAGGTATACATATTTGGCATGAATTTTAAATTGCATTTGCATCGAGTAATTGTCATGTGTGTTAATGTATCTTCATAAGGAAAACTGTGGTCCTGTCAGTAGGATCTCTTAAGTGCTAATTATAGATTTTTCTACTTTTTGTCATTGTCATAGAGCATTTGTATATATATTAATGGCCCATCCTGTTCTTTATTTATTTGATTTTTTTACATGAATTACAAATTATATTATTTGTCCAGATACATGTACTTTGCCACATTTGTACACAATATAATTGGCTTAACTATGTAATAATTGTCTAGAAGTTCAGCATTATTTTCCTAATAGAGTGCATATTTAGATATGTGTACCTAGATTGTTAAATGTTTCACATCGAATAGCGTCCCTGGTTTATGCCCAAAGGTTGTATTGTTATATATGGTTACAGGAGCGAATGGGTTCCTATTTAATAGAAATAACTTGTAAATACAAGTACCGATGACCGATGGTGAAGGTAGATGTAGGTGCCAGGTCTTGAAGGCGGTGGTTATATATACACCTGCGTCAAAGAGTCGAATTTTGCTGAATAAAATTGTGTTGTTTTTAAATGCACAAGCTTGAGAAATTGGATTACACTGGGTTTTCTTGTTCCATGTGCTTGTGTATCTTGTTTTCTTTGTTCTATAAAATTTTGGAAGGATAATATTCTTGAATTTCTATTGTTAGATAGTAATGTTTATAGAAGATTTAAGTTCTGTTTTAAGTTTATTCTAACGTTGTATATAAGAAATAATTGTGTGTTACATAATAAAGAGGACATTTAATATAGTTCCCGTCGTACGTTTTCCTTGTACCACAGATAAATATGTGTTAAAGCTGCATGCCTGCAGATGAGGCAATATATTTTAAGAAAAAATAAAATTTAGAAAAATGTACATTAGAAAAGTAAAACTTTCAAGTACAGTGTCGATTTACATGTTGTGTGCGATTTATGACTGATTTTGCAGTACTTGTCAGTACACACCATATATTTCTAGTGCGTTACTATCGCAGTAAGGACATATTTTTACCTCTGTAATTTAACATGGGTTGTAAGTGGTGTTTACTTTCATTGTTCCCTTTTTATTATTTTTCTTCTACATTTTCAATTTATTCATGAAAATAACCAGAAATCTGGAGGCATGCTGCTTTAAGCAAACTAAATGCCTTTGCAACATCATTGGTACCCTTCAAAATGCATGCTGGGAAAGATAAAAAAAATCGTGGTTGCATCCAAGGATATTATTTTCTGTCTGATATGACGACATAACCAGTTCTATCTGTGGGCTGGCGCCGTGCCCACAAAGAAAAAATCGGGTTCATTGCATTATGAAACTTGTTTTGATCATTATAATTCTTAAATAATATGGTTCATAATACGAAATATGAAAATTTGATTAATACAGAATTTATTTTTGTTCGATTGTTTATGAATCTATTAGCTTATAGGCACACTTTCGTATCCGTTCTTGGAACCAGCCAGTACTGAGCAATCGGCGTAACGTTTCTTGCTTAAGGAAACAACGACTTGCCACTGTCAGGGTTTGAACACATGCGACAAGCGATCATTAAATCACTAGTCTGACGCGTTAACCACTTGGCCATGACGCCACAAATATGAAAATTTGCTGTTTTGCCATGAAACAAGCATATTTTGAAAAAGGTATTTCGGAATAACAATGCCCGCTTAGCTCAATAGGTAGAACATCGATCGTATAGGTAATCCACGCGACGCTGGTATGATCCTCGGGTGTTGTGTAACTTCTTTCTGACAATTAGTCTCGGAAATTGAACCAAATGGTCATTTGTCTCTCGCTACTGATTCAGAAATCATGTAGGATAAGTTGTCGTTCATTTATGGAGATATTGGTTATTACTAGTTAGTTATCCAGGAAAGCCCGTTATATGGATTGATCTCCAGGATATTTAAAAATCGGCATGAAAACCAGAAAAACAAACGAAAGTTTAGCGTGTGCTTAAATCCTTTTAGGACAACTTATATTATAGATACAGTTAAAAACAGAGTTCAAGTAGAGGAATTGGAAGCAGATTCATTTTCAAAAATATTTATTCATAATATCTTAGTAGATTTTTGCTAATGTCAAATCATCATAGTATATAATTGAAAAAATGTACATACATGATAAAAGTGTAACATTAAATTTGGAAGCCGTTGACATTTAACCCCCCCCCCCCCCTTATGTCGCCAATGGTCATTTTTCAACGGATTTTGATAAATTTGCAACATTGTGCCGTGCGTTCGTGCTCAGTTATTCTCTGTACTTATCAGGGGAAGTAACCGCTGCGAAATTGAGCAAACTCCAAGCAACGGTTTCTTACCCTGATCCGTTTCGCTTGAAATAATTTTTATTACTGTTTCTTCCAAGCGTTTTCTACTTTAAACAGACGTCTAACTAAAATGTAACTGACCATACATTGTATTTTAATGAAAACAAATAACGATTGATCAGTTCTCAACGACTTTTTTTTAATGAATTGCTGGCAGAGTCTATTCTCAACGTTGAAAATTTCCCAGGTTCAGTTCTCGACGTTGAAACGGGCAGTAGCTGACCGGACAATTTAACATAGAAATAGGCTATCTGATGCTTTTATGCTGTTATAAAACGTATGGACTCGTCCGATTAGAAAACGAAGAAATAATTAACACAAGCAATTTGACATTTATTTCTAGTTGAGATGAGGAATAATATATTGCCCACTTTGTTTCTAAACTTCGATTCATGTGTTCAATCATCATAAATATACAGCTGCTATTTACTTTGTTCCTTCTGAACATAAAGTAAAAGTCCTTAATATCAAGAACGCCTTTGACTTTTAGGTGAAGTTTTAAATCGTCTCGTCAGCAAACATATAGTTCTTTCTTCTTATGAGACTAGATTAATATACTTAAGGACAATGAAAACGCACGCCCGCACTAAATGCATTTAATTACATAAAAACAAAACACTAACGACTCCATTAGATATATATCATAACTTTAATACAAAACGCAAACTTAACAAC